AAAATAAACAAATGGGATTACTTAAACACCTGGAAAAAGCTTGTTCAGTCGAACGGAAGAAGGCGTTTGCAAAAGGTAGGCTTGCCGTATGAACGCGTAGTTTCAATGACAAAATTATTGGATTAAGAAGAGAGAAGAATTGCACAGGAAAAGCTTGAAAAAGCAGAACGTCTGGGCAAAGTCATAGATGTGGACGAGTGGGCGCGGACGCAGCGAGAATCGCGACGCAGGCCGCCGCCCCCTGATGCAGAGATTTTCAGCATCAATGATTGATTGAACGCAAAAAAGCTACATGGATATTTAATTGGCATCGTGTACACACGGGTGATAAGTAGGAAACAAAACAAATGTATTTTGTGTGCAACGAAGACAATAGAAATCGACTTTAACTTCCTGAACGGGACGTAAAATGGCCAAAAATTTCTAGCGCTGCGCGTGCTAGGACCCCGGGCGGGGTTGGGTCTGCCCGGGCTGCCGCCCATGGGCGCCTGGAACCCTGAACAATGGGCCGCCCACGGATCGCAATTTGCAAAATGAACGCCTGCCGCCCATCCGCCCGCTACCACTCAGGTAGGTTTTGGGCGCCGGAAAAACCTACCTAACTGGTAGGATTTGGGGGGTGACCAAGGTGTCTCACCGCATGATTGGTTCCATCTGTGCATGAAGGTTTACTGGTCCAAAGCCTTTGCATTTTGCGCAATCCATCAATGCTTTCATGATTGACTTGTCTAGTCCTGGGCTGTGGTAGCTGTCCATCAGCGCTATCTTTGTTAGGGCAACTCCTGCCAGCCCGAAGGAAGAGAGCACACAGCACACAACAACCTCACATGAGTCTGAGCACAGAGGGGGATCCTTAGAGACTATCAAATACAAGGGAGGTATACTACTCACCTGAGCACAGAGGGGGATCCTTAGAGAACGGTTCAAGGATCCATGTGCCCAGGTGTCACACTATATAGCCAGCTGTGACAAGTGACTGATGATGATGGGATATCACTGCCATGGAACAATGGCAGATGACAAGTAGATAATGACAAACCCAGATAAGATAGTGAGTGGCTCAGAGGGGCCAGTGATGGCCAGCTCCTGAGACACCAACAGTGGAAGGCCACACTGGAGGAGCCCAGTGGCCAGTCTAGTGCCGGGCCAGCCAGTGGAGGCATCGGAGGCGAGGACCAATGCCCAACTGGGAAGAGGGGTGGTGCGGATGAGCGCAAGGGCATCTGGTACAAGCCTGTACGGCAGTAGACCACATCCGCGGGGAGAAGGCCGAAGTAGAGGGGGAGGAGTGCATACGGCAGTAGCACTCCCTGGTGCAAGGAATCGGGCTTGGCTAGACCGCTTGCGGGGATTTGAGGGAGATGGCCGGGGGAAGGAGGGAGAGGGCGGATGTTGGCATGGATGGAGATGAGGATTGGAGGGGGAGGAGGAGGCCAGGTGATTGACAGGTGAGCAGGCACAGGTCGGCAGAGAGGGCGCAGTGGGTCACTTGCATGGTCACGTGCCCAAGGAGCGCGGCGTCCCCTGACAATCTTGACCGAGTCTCTACAGAAATGAACCCCTTCTGCATGTGTCCTTGAGGCCTCATTGTATGCTTCTTCTCGTGTTATGCACTCGCGTTTTGATCTTGCTTGTAATCTTGGTCCGCCACCTTCTACTGTGCAGACAAGCTCTTTGTCAGCACTGTTCACCAAAAAGAGGTCATTCACCAGTCCCGTCCTTGTCTCCCAGTCTGTGTCAGGGGAGATGCATCAGTGTAATGAGGTCATTGGTATTGATCCGGTGGTGTTCCAAGGGTTATCAGTCAGCGGTGTCATGCTTCTTATGTCATCTACTTGTATATAGATAGTTGCTGGGGATCTCTGATCCCCAGTCTTGTTATTGACTTGGCCCCTGGGCTCCACTCCCCTAACAGTCTGGTGAGACCGTCCACTTGCTCCTGTCTCCTTGCTTTTTTTCTGTCCCCTCTGCTGCTCTACTTAGTGCGTCTGCCACTGCATTTGCTGTTCCCTTTATGTGTTTGGCTCTGACAATGTTGTATCCAAGGAGCCTGTTCAGCCACCTGGTGTGTGTAGCATTCAGTTTTTCATTATTGAGTATGTCTTGTAGGGCTTGACAATCCGTTTCTAGCCACACCGGCTGGCCTCATACAATGTTTGAGAACTTGTCCAGTGCAAATTTGAGTGCGGCAAATTCCAGGAGGTGTGGTTAGTAGTGTTCCTCCGCTGGTGACATTTTTTTTTCATGCAAAGGCTATGGGGTGCCTTTGTACCACCACTCTTCTTTCTGCCGTTGTGGATTCCATTTCTTGCAACAGCACTCCTGCAAACATATCCTTGCTCCCATCCATTGGGACAATGAATGGATGCTTGCTGACTATGTCGTATAGCGGCGCCTATAGTACTGGGGCTCATGTCAGTATTTGTTTCAGGTGCAAGAAGCACCTTGTATGTTCCTCCTTTCATCTTGGCCGCAAGTCTTGATTCTTCATCACACTGCAGTAAACCTGTCAGCTGGCGTTCTTTGGCATTGGGACTTCCTTCAGGAGGTTTCTTAGCAGTGCTTCCTCTTGTGCGTAATTCTTTATGATGTCTCTGAAGTAGCCAGTGATAGGCTGGCTACCAGACACGCTCTGCACCAGCTCTGTAAGGGCGTGTTTTTGCGCTTTTTACAGAGTTTACTCTTGAACCATTCGGTGTATCGTGTTGCGGTTGACAGTGTTACGTTCAGTAGGACTTAAGGGTCTACTGCCCAGTCGACGACTGTGGATAGTGTCGACGATAGCAAGGCAGTCAGACCACTACTGTGGAACTGGTCTTATAAGTCTATACCAGGCTCAGGGCCATTAGTGACGAACGCTTGGACCGCGACCATTCCCCAAAAAGGAATCTGTCGTTGCGTTGACTTCTCAAAAAGGGTCATTCTCTGCAGATGGATACTTGGGCTGAAGGGCTGAGCAATGTATGTCGTTCTCAATAATACGACTACTACTGGACAGGGCTTGGCGTTACGAGACTTAAACCATCTTGTCGCGGCAAACTCCCGGTTTTGAGTTGGACGTTTCCTCAGATTGTGCCACGACGACGACTTGTCACATGTCAGGATCCATTCGATCACGGGACATTGTGGGCGCGTCGCGGTGACACTTCCAAGTGTCACGGCGAGTCGCGTCCATACCCAAACACACTAAAATCGACACGGCTAGATCCGTGAACCGAGCCAAGTGGGGAACGACTGGCGTGCCTAGGGCCATACGGCTTCTTGGGGCGCCCACGTTGGTCTCACTTGCCAAGACATACCCGTTGGCCAATCCAACACGTCGTATTCCAAAAGTATGACGCGGCGGGTTGACCCACATCAAAAGTATCATATGGACAATGGGGCAGGGTCCTGATCACTCAGGTCCTGTCCGATCGTTCAACTTTTCAATTACTCTAAAAGGCAACCGATCTTAGATAGCGTAGCTACTATGCAGTTGTACAGGACTTGACTAAGCATTGTCGTAGACAGTATAAGTAGCACGTCGTTTCTTTGTATTAGGAAGCTTTTCCCCGGACTGTGAATCACTCCCATTTCAGATTGTTTTGTACAATTTGCATGCCGCGTGATTCCGCCCTAAGAAGTTCTGCTACCCCTGCCCGGTCGCGACGAGTTGCTCCCTGAGCGCTTGTAGCTACTGTGATTTGAGTTTTGAGTTGAGACATCAGAAAGTCGGATTCACCGCATCTGGTTTAGTCGCGGCATTTAGTGTCATTGCCTTCGGGCTTTGTTGAGATCGTTCCACACCTCTAGCTTGGCTGTGCGTCGACTAGTTGTGCTCGGGTTGTTTTGGTCAGTTGGCAGTGCATCCGATGGACTTGAGAACTTTGGTTCCACACTTCTTGCTTGGCAGTGCGTCGACAAGTTGTGCTCGGGTTTTGGACATTGGGTATTGGCTGTTAGTTGGCAGTGCGTTGACGCGGCATTTTGGTTTACTAGTTGGCAGTGCGTCGACTCAGTACTTTTGGTTGTATCGGTTGGCAGTGCGTCGACTTGATATTTGGGCTTTGCGTCACCATCTAGACGCTGTCGCTACAAGGGATCTTAATACTTCGTATTAAGTTCTGACTTGTTATATTGTTGGTTGTGGATTGGATTAGTGTTGGTTGTGTTTGTATAGAAGATATTGGTTGAGACACCACTGTTTGCTATATATATATATCCTTGCCGTCGACTTCGTCTTCCGCGACTATTGGATCTGCGTCTATTGAGAGTTGTGATACTGGTGTTCTGTCCACCCCGAAGCCCTCGCATCTTTCACACACTGAGAAGCTGATTACGAGGAGTGTGAACGTGTTTATATTTGGGTTTACTTTCATAGTAGATTCACTTGTGAGCACGCCCTCAGCATTTCATCGGTGCCCTTTGAATTCTTGGAGCCGATGGACGATACACTTTCCACACGCACTCGTACGCTCTTCACTCAGTATTTTGCAGACATGTCTGTCCTCCGAGTTGCCCACCTCTATCTAGCAAAAGGGGATGGTTCTGTCGGGTCTAATGCCTACTTTATTTGTTTGCATAAGCTCCAGCTTCAGCGTCTGGCCAACAAGACAAACACCCTACAGCTCGCGGAAAACAATGGTGTCGTCGAGGGATTGAAGGAGATTGTTGTTGCCTCGAGACCCGCTGGTGAGAAGCTGAAATCTGGGGAAGAGGAGTGGGTGATGGTCAGACGCAAGATTGGAGAGGAGCCTGATGAGGAGCGAAGGGTTTCCAAGCGCAAGAAGCCTGTGTCCCGGATCAACTAGATTACTAGTCCAATGCGTATGATCATTACTGTACAGAGTGCTTTTCTGACGCAAAATATAAGTGGTATCTTATGGAAATGAATGTCATTTGGAGACTGGCTAATAGCTACATTGTACTCTTGCTCTGCTACTGCGCTCGAATCCGTTGTCGATTCCAGATTGAAAGGAAAACTTTTGTGTAAAGGATTGCAAGGGCTTGAGACATATAGCTCACAGCTTTGCGAATGCATGAAAGTCCGCTATTGCCGCACTCTCCTGCACTAGAGTTGATGTAGGCCAGACGTGGGTCCACATTACAATGAGACTTGAGGCGGAGAAGACATCATTCCGCCCTTCACCGCGAGGGATGCAGTGGAACCCATAGCAGACGCTATGAGTGCACCACACACACATGATACCTCCAGTAAGGCGACGCTCCCCGTATTGTGAGTAGAATTTGGAGCACTTGGCTCCTCGTTTACCGCCAACCTTGTTCTCCGAGTCGTATATGAGCTTTGGATAGACTGGCCGCTCTCGAATCTTAGGCAAGCCGTAACAGCAACCTGTCTGCTAGATATAAAGACGTGGAAATTAATACATAATAATAATTCGCGCACCTCGGCCCATGGATGTTCCTGGTATTCTCCAAGCAGACGTGTTGGAAGTCCAGAGTTGGTAGACCCTGGCTGCGTGACTGCTACTCGAAGTTCTTGGAAAACCTCTCGACCACGAATCAAAAGCCAATTGCAAAGCTTCACTGTGTCCGTGGTGAGTGGTCCGAGTGACATCTCGTGTTTGATGAGTTCGTAAATGGTGGGCGTTTCATACAGAAGAGAAATGTTAATCTTGGATGGCACGCGAATGAACCGGTTGAGATTCTCCATTCCGGTGGAGGTAAGCATTTGCAGTGCGGACTCATCAGCAGAAAGCTACACCAAGATTCAGTCAAGGAATGAATGCCAGAGACTTAAGAATCATACCTGAGCAAAGAATCTGACATAAACCTGAGAGGGAATATGATCACTTGCTATAGCAGTGTCTCCGAACTCAGATTCGAACATCTTGGCAAGAACGATGCTCAGTTTCTTCAAACCATCCACTGCCTGTGATATAGCAGACATCCGCGAGAGATAGTCTGCCTGCTCTCGCTGTGCAGAGCGTTGAGCATGAGACATGGGAGCACTTGTATCCTCAACATTGGCGTCATCCTCCTCCTCGCTACCCTCCTCGGGATCCTCGTCCCCAGGGGTCCCATTCTTTCTTTTTGCTGCCCGTATCTTGGCATCCAGGTTCTTCAAACCCGACAAAGTAAGCGGTCTTCCTGTGATCACTTTGCGGATGGCGTGCCGTGCCTTTCGATCAGGAATGAGCTGCTGGTTCGGCATGTATTTTGTGCGATCTCGTACATCTGACGTCAATTGAGTGACTGTCGGAGGCTCCAAACTAGGAAGCAGGTGTTTGCGATTGAACGCAAGCGTGACACCATCCCAAATGGTGTTCTCTGGCAAGGGGCCACACTTTGGACACATCATATCTCCTTCCAAGTACTGCAGCTTCACATAGAGAAACCACACGGCACGGAAAACCTCCGCACTCGGAAATGGCTCCCCACAATCATCGCCTTCTTGTCGATGCAGCTCATATCGTCGTCCGAGAGTAAGAACCCATGCCGAGAATGGGGTTTCGGAGGAAGTGTAGGCAGACGTATATTCATCAAGTAGCTTGTGCAAAAACAATCGAGTGTTATTGTAGTTGAAGATGCCAAGCTCCCGGCAGTCGGGACCCACAAGACGGTGGTGACAAGAGGGATTTCCGCAGGACTGGACCTGTATGACAGTAGACCACGAGCGATAGAGCCCATAAACTGTGCAGGGGCGTTCGGATATGGGGAGAGACGGGTTAAATGAGTATCTCAAGTCTGAGCAAGCACACGTTGATGATTCTGACAAAACAAGTGTATCCGGCTTAGTAACAAGAGGAGCCGGTCGCTGGTAAAGAACAGGGTTGGTGGGTAACGATGCCCAAATTGGAGGGAGGACAGGCAAGTGCGAGACAGCTTTGATCTCCCGTGTGGACCGACATTGGCGAGTTACTGGTTTACTGTCAGCGAACAGAATCAAAAGAGCACAGCAGCACACGCACCTTGATAATCAACAAAAGTTTCGACTGCTCCGGTTCCCTCTAGCTCATCAGAGGCAAAGCCATCTGTGTTGGAGCCGAATCGTGTGAGAACAGCCTGACAGGCTTGAATGTGCGCACAGAGAAATGAGTCCTTGGGGCCTTTCCACGAGCCAGTAGAGCCTTCATTGCCTTGATATTGGATGATGACTCGGCCAGAAAGTGAACGCGAGTTGGAGGACTGAGCAGAGAAGTGGTTAAGGTAGATACCATCACCGGTCTTGTATCGCGAGAAAAGCACTGCCATATCCGCATCTCGTTCTTAAGTCACATCAGCCATGCATTCTACACCAAGATAAAACTTGCGTACCCTTGAAGAACACATCAACGGGAAAGAGTTCCTCCCCATAATCACAAAGGAATCGTTCATGAACACATCGGTAGTCGGGTTTAGAGGATGGGCAACGGCAGACGATCACCTGGGTGCCACCAATAAGTGAACGTTGAAGGTGATACCAAACCGAGGTCTGGAGAGTCTTAGCACAGAGATAGCGGGCCATTGCATATGATGCGTACCTTCGAACTTTTAGTGGAAATTTCCCACCCATTGACGACAAATAGCTCAGATCCAATCTGGTAGAACGCGCCGCCTTCTTCTTGAATGTGCGCACAGAAAGCCCCGTACCCGTCTTCAGCATCGATCCCAGCTCCTGCAGCTCCTTCTTTGAGGGCAGTTCCAGTCACACCAGCCTCTATATCCGCAAAGTCAACCATCTCTATCATCGTTTCTGGCGTCCCCATTTCAAAAGGCAATCCAGCCGACTCTTTTGTCCATGCCGGTTCATCAAGGACCTCGAGATTCAGGGCCGGAATGGGCTTAACAGCCCTCGGGAGTCGTTTAGTCTGTTCCCGACGTTGCTTTCGTGTGGGAGTGATCGTTGGAAGCGCATAGGCCACAGTACTTGGGGTGGAAAGACCAATGCGCTGTGTGGGTGACGGAGGGGGAGTTTCGAGCAAGATCTGTGAGTTATAATCGTTGTCTGAGTTCATGATAGGTGCGTGGTTCATCCAGGCCAGCAGTCAACACTGACTGCCAACGCTCACACTCATTTCTTCAGGTCTCTTTCTCCCTCATGGGTCCTGAACGGAACCAGCCCCTGCTCCCCAACGCCTGCTTTTGTGCAATATGCCCATCTTTGGCAACCTGCCACCACCTTCCTTCTAACTTTCCGGCTCTAGGCACAATATTCACATCTGGGGAGCCGCTCCCTGACGTCTACCAACAATACCTCCCTCTCAATTCGCCGTCACGTTGATTCAATATCAGCTAACTCCTCAGCGTGATAACACTCCTCCGTCACCCACCCTTTCCCAGTCTACTACGGCCTCCTCCACTCCGGTGCCCGAGGAAGTGCCCAAGAAAGTGCGCATCCGAGTCACCAAGGACAACGCAGTGTTTGGCGATGTCGAGGGAGCAATGCGTGGATCTCGTGCCTTCAGTGAGTGGTTGCTTACGGTCCGGAGCAAGAGAGCTGAGCTGTTCCAAACAGGTTTCCCTCGCGCCAGGGAACTTCGAGCGCCACAAGAAGAGCAGAAGAAATCTTCTCAACGTTTCTTGCGCGAGATTCAAGACATCATCGATAGGGTACGTTTCCAACTTGTTTTTGCTTGCAGGCTGTCACTCGAAACCTCAGTGTGAACGCCTTTCCCTCGAAACTGGGTGCTGGCTTCAATTAAGTGCCCAACACCTCTTTGCCAGCGGCGGCTTCCTTCACTACACGTCCCCTCGTTTGCGCAAGGAAGCTAAGCCCGAAGTGGAGAAGATCACGACCGACTTGAATCGGCTTTACCTCAAACTCATTGCGGCGCGGCACCAAGACACAAGGGCCATGCAGGAGAAACTTCAACAAGCTGAGCAGAGTCAGAAGCTTGCTGAAAGCTCGCTTGCCACTGTTCAGCAAGCTGAGGCAGAAGCTTGCAATCGCGCTCAATTGGCTGAGTTGCGGCTGGAGGCTCAACGAAAGGAGCTTGACATTCTGCGCAAGCAGATGGAGCGTAATCGAAAATAGATCATTTGTACTCGTAGCTCAGAGAATTACAGTCACTGAATTACATTTTTGAGCCTGTCTCCTTGCGCTCGTAAAGTCCAGCGGTCGATATCACCCACCCAATTCCGGCAGTGAGGCGCAACTGCCATGTCGAAGGAAGGTTCTGGCCGCCAACCCTTGCAGTGAAGCGGCAGTCAAAGACAACCGCTAAAGAAGTCGATTGCACAGCGTACAGTGGTCATTTTTGACTGCGGGAGTGGGCCTCTCATAGGGGCTCACTGAAAGTGCCGCGGAGTGCTGCAGGAGCACTCCTGCGGTACTCCTGCGGTACTCCAAATACTCCATATCATTGATCTCGATGACAACGACAACGATCAACATGCTGTCCACGTCGGCTGAGATGTTGATGGACGTGGGAATGATTCGCGCAGGCAGCGGGACTACTCCAGCCGCCGTTGTCGTCGGCGGCAGCGATAGAGATCCCACTCCTGCGGCACTCCAGAACAGGGTGCCGCAGACTCCACAGCACACCGCGGCACTCCTGCGGAACCTCTGGCGACACTCCAAACAAGTCTGCGGCACTCCAAATGAGTCTGCGGCACTCCAGTGTGACGCATGTGACATCTCTGGGGCGCTCCAAAGCACAGCTACTCTCTGGAGAGCGCTGCAGGCACATCCAACGCTGTCTGCGCTAGTCAATTGCTAATATTTTGACTTGAATTAGTCGAATTTCAATAGAATTGTATATGTAGTTGTCCTGAAAGCCTGTTTTTGGATTGTAGGCCTCTATGATGCCTGGGAGATGTGATTGTCTCGAGCTCATTGACCACCGGAAGGGTGGACTTGACTTGAATTTACAGAGAGCATTTTTTCATCACAAAGACACTCTCAAGTGTTCTGAATATCACCTATTGTGCACGATACAAGTTCAAAATGAATGTAAAATGAGTTATAAACCGATAAATCAGACTTATAGATCATCTTCGACTTTGTTCTGGGCTTTGCAATGAAGTGGACTCACAAGAGTGAGCAAAAACGGCCGCTCAGAAAGCCATCAAACCACATTGATGGGACATCAGCACCGCGAGGGGCATTGCTCAGAAACACGGTGATATCCTGCCTCGTAGGTCGCTGCGGCACTCCAGCGTGATATCTGCGGCGCGTGACAGAAATCCTGCGGCACTCCAGGCTCAAACCTGCGGCACTCCAAAAGTTTTGCGGCACTCCAACGGCACTCCGCGGCACTTTCATGTAGCCCCTTTGGAGATATCACCCGCCAATTTGAGTTCATCAATGCTTGGTGGAAGCATCGGGTTTATTCTTTGCCCATCGGGCGATATTACCGTGTCTGCGCACTTCTGACAAACGCAAAGAACTGTATCAGGCCAAATCAGACTGCTCAGTACTTTGAATGCATGCCACCAACTCTCGAGGAGTATTTCCATCCTTAGAACAACTTCGGATACGTGTTGTACAAATAATATTCATGTTCCGATGCTTTCATAAGTATATCGCAAGAACATGAGCTGTATCTACTGAGTACCACTGCCAGAGGCACCATTGTTCATCTCGCGCAACAGCAACATCATGTCCTGCTTGTCTTGATGTGACTGTTTCACAAAGGTGGCAAGGGTATCAGCAACCTCAGCATCCTGCTTCGCCCGCCGCTGTTGATCCTGTTCCATCAAACGAAGAAGCTTGTCCTGGGTGTTGGATCGCTGATCCATCAGACGGCGGCGCTTGGAGGAACGATCCCCGCTGCCAGTGCTGTCAATGGAAGAAGCAGAGTTGTTGCGGGCAGTGGTTGAGCCGGATCCCTTGTTGTTGGTGGGAGGGTGGCTGTCGTTCTCATTGTTCTCGTTGTTCTCGTCGACTTGGTCGGCTGCGGCACGCTTCCGACGACGGGTGCAAAGGCCCTCCATCGATGCCTTGATGATGATGTCACCATCATGGCGATCTTTGTCGAGGCGCTGCTCGCAACATTAGCAAATGAGTACCAGGCAGGAAGATAGACATACAGCTTGTACATCCAGCTTCTCCTGGTTTGTCTTGTCCTCAGCTTTGTTGCGAAGCTTCTGAAGTGCATCGAGTAGCGCTCCTGCCGTGATGCAGTGCCCAGATCCGTGGCCCATGACAGACGCAAGATGCTTGTGCTTGCCTTTTGGATGCTTAATGGCGCGTCAGAAGATGATGGAGATTGATCATGAGGAGACACACCTTGTGGAAGTCAAGGATACCAGTGATCTTGGACTGCAGCTTGGGTCCATCAATAGCCTTGTGCCCCCAGTCTTTGTCCCGCACAAGAATCTCCGCTATCTCTGCCCACTTATCGGCCTTCTTCCCATGTTGAGCTGTATACGGATTGGCGGTGAGGACGGTTCTGAGAGCAAGGACGTAGTCTGCGGCAGTGAGAAGCATACGTTTCCGTCGCCGCTGTGCTGTGCCCTGAGTTCCTCTGTTCTCGGTCTCTTCTTCGTCCTCTTCCTCATCAGCACTCTTCACGCCACTTTGACCAATCGCACGTCTCGTATTCTCCAGCTCCTCGTCATCCAAGAACAGGGCCCCATACTGCTTCTTCTGTCCGAAAGGAGGTCGAGTTGCGGGGTAGGTGATTGGAATGAGACCGTTAATCGAGCGCAAGACAAGTTGCTCGCGAGGGGCATGCGGTTTCTTTGGGCTCGAGAAAGAAGTGAGATCGAATGGAGGGATGGGGCCGTTGTTACGCCATGGGTCTATGAGAGAACTGACGGGAGGAGGCGACCAGTTGTCGAGGGAGTTGTTGGCAAAGGGTGCCAAAAGCCCACTTCGGGACGGAGAACAAGGGGCCAGACCAGGGACGGACTCGACGGGGGAGGTCGTGGTTGTGAAAGGCGAGGGATCATCGATTTCGTGGGGATTCGAGATGGCCTGGCCGAAGAGAGTGGCATTGGCTGTGTCCCTATTCAGGGTGGGTCTAGTAGGAAAGTTGTAGTTGTCTGCGTAAGATAGGCATCAAACGCATCCATCGAGTCACATGACTGATGGTGTGACACCCGATGCCCGACGCAACTGCGCTCTCACCCTCAACCTGAATTGAAATGTAAAACCACAGATGTGTTAGGGAACCCTTTCGGAAGGATCCTGTGGTTGTAGAATTTTGATACTTGCCCTTAGTAAAATGTTTTTCCTCAAATTTTTCAGAGTGCATATCTCAGGATGTACAAAGCAATGAGAGTACAAGTGTAAGAAAGACATAAAAAATTTGCGCTTCCCAAAATGGAAACCCTAACCCTATTGTGATCACGTGCAGGTCACGAGCCTCGCTTGTTCTTTCATTTTACCACCTTGAATTCTAGACCTTCTGAATTATGGTACATATCTGCGGACATCAAACAAGGATGAATTGGAGCACAAGTGATCATGGCTCTAGATTCTGTTCCCCTCGAATCCGTGCATCAATTTGTAACTTGGTCATTTGGATTTGCTCATGCACATTGGTGCAGTCTGAACAGGGCAGAGGTTGCATGGGCAAACAAGAGATACAGGGCCCATAGAGCTCTTCCACCAGTACTTACAGGCCCTTCGAGACCAAGATAATGCATAATTATCCATGTAGTTTCTATCTGGCACACATGTGGCCAAAAATGATCTACCAGTGTGTCGGGCACTGGAAATTTTGCGCTTTCCCACGTGACAGTCACCATCAGTCACGCAACACGTGACTCGATGGATGCGTTTGACGCCTATCTTACATGTTGATTGTGTGCGGTGAAGGAGAGTCGAGCCCGACGTGCCTTATATTCATGCCATCCCACTAAGCGAGGTGGAGGCTTGGAGCCACCAGTGGGGTTCATCATACGTATCCCTACGTCACATCGGCGCGCATTGGAGTATTATCGGGCGGGGCGGAAGAGGGCGGAAGCGTACACAACGTAGCGGACAACAGCGAGGTCAAGACGAGCTCGTATGAGCACCAGGTCACACAAGGTCACAAAGATCGCACACGTGCCTTCCAGGTCCGTTGATTTCACGGGCAAAAGGTTGCATCCGGACAGAATCTCGGAGGCCCGCTCGACGACCTCGTACAATTACGCTTACACATAGCTCCACTAAACAGATTTCTGTGAGCAAAAAAAAGCTCCACAACGAGATTCTTCTACTGAAAAAAAGTGTTTTAGGCTTGTGCTGGAGAGCTCTACTGCGTGGAAATAGAATTTTTATGCACACCCAGGCGAACGCCAATCAGAGCGTCTGGACCTCTGTCAGCCGCATCGGCCAATCTCATTCCAAATCGACTCGGTAGTCACCGAGGAGTGATGAAGCCCTGATCCGATCATGATCCCATGACGAGATTGGTCACAGTTCAGTCCATCACCCCCCTCCGTGCCGCACTACCGACGGAATGACATCTGTGGCACAGGTTCCTGAATGAAGGTCCGACTCACACCGTCTGTCTGATTCTTGCGCTGAAGCTGACTACGATCATTTAAGTTTTGCAGGGTTCCCAGGCTTCCAGACTGTGAATCCCACTGCGTGTGTAAGACTTCGATTCTCAGTCGCTGATAGATGGTCTTCCGCCTTTCTTGATGGAATTTATTGCTGGAGAGAATGTCCCTATACCCAAGCAGATTGGTCCCGACACGAGTCGTGTATGCACAGCATGTCTGGATTCGTTCTGCTATCGCCTGCTTAGGAGGGATTCTAACCGAGGGACTGCAGCGGAGAGAATAAGGCGTTTGTGAGGCACTGGAAGACTAATTACAACAGAATCAGATTGATTAACGCAGTTGCGATATGAATTCACGTCAGGCTTCCTACATAACGTCGACGTGGAAGCGAGTCTTTGTTGATACGGGCGCGATACCCCTTCCTTCCTCCCCGTATTCATTTCTTCGTTGCGTGTGCTCTCTGCCTGTGTTCATACGCTAGGGTTCGAAGATGAATGGAATCCGGTGCGTCACAGTGGTTCCAGTGTCGCTAATGACTGGACTTAATCGCCCTGCTTAGGTATTCCTCCTTCATACATCAGAGCCGCTCCTTCGAGGTGTATCCTCTTACTTCCGATTTGAACCATTCCCCCAAAGTCACGACAACCACTCTTCTGTCCTCAATGGCCGTTTCCCGGTCTCTCGAGTCACAACTTCCAGTTTTGCCAGAATCCGTCGAAGACTCTGCGCGTCGATTGTCGATTATCGCCGGTATCTCGATTTCTTCTGTTGCTCTCTTAGTGGTTCTGGGAACCGGATGTATACTCCAATGGCGCAGGCGGCGCCTATCCCGCGAGCGTAACATCGCCGCCGTCGACCTCGAGAAGGAGCTGCCAGTCGATCCAGACCGAGCGTCACTGGACTCGGTCCCCGAGACGTGGCAGCAACATCAAGGACCGATGGAACACGCTCAAACATTATCCTTTGGCGATCTCGAAGTGCCATATTCCCACTCCGTCGCGGCTGGGCCGGTTCCCTTGAGCGAAGATAAACAGGAAACGACGGAAATGGCTTGCTCGGCGGCAAGATTGCATTTATCTGCCGGTCCATGGACAGACACAGATGCCACAAAGATATCAGTTCCTCTCCGACCATTCCCCAGTGTTCCACGTACACGATTGCAAACATTGGTCCTTCATCCAATCTTCGATGAGTCCACGCACAGATCGCATGCTCCTGATCCAGGCATCCTGTCAAGCGATCCCGGTGCTCTGTCGCCGACTGCCAGGGCCATAACGAAACACCGTCCGTTGTTGGTTCGACCCTTGCCCAAGATTCCTGTGCCCGTTGATATAGAAACGGATACCGAGTCCTTGATAATCTGATCGATTATGATGCATCTTGAAGATAGCGCAGGCCTATATGTACTTCTACACAGAGAATCGATGCATGTGCATGGCAGATGAATACAAAACCTGTCAAGAATAGACAACCCAGACAGGGCTGGCTCGGTTTTGCAGACGGCACGGTATCGAAGACGGAAAACTATGTGCCTCATCTTTTTACAGGGGAATAAATATACTCATATATTGGCCAACTAACTGAAGATTCAAGCAGCACTGGACATATCATCCCGAAAGAATCGAAGCCAGCACTTCTACGAATGCTGAATGACATTCAGTGCACGCCGTTCGTCACGAATAATTGACACTATTGATCACGTGCTCATGCTGAGACCTAGACAGGTGGCAGTGTCGCCTCTGTTCAATAACGAATCACTGGACAACTTCAACAGGGACTCTCCGAACTCTCATAATCACCATCAAGCACTAAAAAAAAGGTCTCTCCTATCCTCTAGCAAACGTTCAAGAACGTTTCTCTGCGATATCAGGAACTAGGGTCGACGCAAACGGCACGACGACTCAAACGGAGATACTTGCAGGATCAAAAGTGAAAAGCAATTTAAGAAAGACGCAAGGTGGGGGAAAAGGGTGCCATATCGTTTCCCTACACATTTATCTGCGTTTAAAAAAACAGGGATTTCACTAGTCCCACCCATCATACTTGTGTACCAGTACATACCCAGTTTCCAGGTGAATTCATCATCGCAATGTAGATTTATGAGAAAGTCAATTCAAGCGCGTCACATTATCACAAGCAGGTGGCACTTGTTCAGCAGACACTTCCTGCTGGCTCCATCATGAGAATTTTCCTGTTGCGTGCGCATAGATACCCTCGAGTCTATCTGTGACCTGCGTCCACCGGGCTTGGTAACTATGGATTACTAAAACAGAGAACCTGTTCAGGAAACCTTACGTTCGTCCTCCTGTGATTAATACCCGACTTCAACTGAGAGTTAAGAGTGCTTGGGCAGTGGCGGATCGATTACACAATAATGAAGACTTTTCATATGCCTGGTCGCACCACCGGCTGTATTATGGTCCCTTCACGCGGCTAGCCTAAGATGGGAAGTGGATGCGGCCTACCTCACGTGTTCGTAGTAGCGTAAATTGAAATTTGCGATTTCCGGTGGAGGAAGAGCGGGTGGCTCAAGGGCGACAGGAAGAACGAGAGGATTCGCAAGCGCCTTGAGCGGGGCCTCGGTCTCTATCTTGATATCCGTGCCAGCTGCGGAACGCCAGTACGTTACACAAAGTGTAATATGGATTACTCAATTCAGTATCTCCTTTCACTCAATAACCGAGCAAGATGTTCCCCTTGAGACTCAGACCCGCGACATCAAGGATCTCAGCAGCAACCAGAGAGGCGGAGTTCATCTTCGAGTTGATGTACGTGCACACATCGAGTCGCCAGTCCTCCCTCAGACTAAAGAGGTTGCGGGTCGAAAGCGAGAGAGCTTGACATGTGGTAGTATAGAAAGTGGCCGCTTCCGCTTACGCTCTGATCGGAGGGACAAGGACGTGTGGCTTCTGTCATGACTTCCACAGAAAGCACATGTGCCCCTCCTGACTTATTCACAATGCAGTTCGACATTGATTCTGAATCCAGGGCGGCCCGGATCTTGAAGTCGAATCGATATCCGTCTTGAGTGAAACGCATACCTAGAAAGATTCTGTTCAAGACAAGCACTGAAGATCACCAAAGCCCCTGAGCTATTCCTCATAAGCCGCAAGTAGCGGATCCAGGCGGCGTCTATTTTCACAAACGACCCCTTCCTCCTCTTCACTCACGCCTGTCGGTTGGTCAGCCGAAGATTTCTTTGATTAGCGACCTGTTCACTTGACGCAGTTTGGTTATCTGACTTGCTATCTCCGGGTCAGCCAAGCCATGTCTCCGCCGGCTATGCTCTTCAATTGTTGTATTTATCAGGGAGAGAAATCTATCTAATACATGGTACTTACCATCTTCGAGCTGGTTTACGCACATTAGGCACTACTTCCATAATCCACTCACAGACGATGCGATCGCTCAAGGCTGTGACTCTTCCGAGCCCCGAACATCCTCTTGAATAGTCCCCGATGCTCGCCATGCAAGTCAGGATTGGCCTGCTGAACCTGGGTATGAGATGGTGGGGGCTGCGGATACTGCCAAGGAAGGGAATCAATCAGGATGGACCCAATGACAAGTCGAAGTGCTCACATTGATTGTGATGTACACGCAGGGCTGCTGAGCGTTAGACGCCGTTGGTGCTGCACCGGCGCTCGCATAGTGCACTACCGGACGACCAGGCGCAGGTGTCGGTACGATCTGCAGCGAGCGAGCTAGATCCGTGCCATGATGATGCGTTGGAAGCAGGGTCGCGGAGCCAGAATGCGAGTGCGGCACGCTGTGGTACGCTCCCGCATGGGTCTGTGAATGAGAGCTATGCCGGTGTGACGATGAATGGTCTCTGGATCGATGACTGTGATGCGAATTCGAATGGCTATGACGCGACTTCGCTCTTCCAGGCGAGTGCGATCGACTCCTCCGAGTCGATACCTGGGAGACTGAGTCACTCGGGCTGACCAGCCGATCAGAATGACGCGAAGGGTGGCTCGGCGCGGGAACCAAGGGCAATTGGGGATACGCAGGAGTGACGGCGGAAGAAGTGTGGTATGTGGACGACGACGGGGGGATGACGGTCACCCCGACTGCAGAAGACACGTGGCGGCTTGCGGGAACCGAGGCGTGTGCTGAGTGCACCGAGTTGGGGACGGGAGGAGCGTAGACACTCCCAGGTGCGAGGGAGTGAGTGGCAACGGCACTTGGGTGGTGGGAATGCGCAGAAGGTGGACCCGCGGTAGCTCCCACATTGGCGGTCGTATGCGAAGAAAGGGCGACCGGAGCAGTCGTCCTGCGAGAGTGATGCGAAAGAGCAGCAGCATGTTGTGATGGAGCTGCCGCTATTGGTGTGGCGAGAGTACCGGGCTCGCCTGCCTGTTGCTCCGACTCGAACATAATGTCCCCTGCATCCGATCGCACCAGATAAGGATTCTTATACTCCTTCGCACATCCGGATGAGTCCGTGGCCCAGTCCGATACACGGTGCATCGTGCGGTCATACGCGCGGTAGGCCTCAGGCGATGTGTCGTATTCAGTCATACGAGGTGAGAGGAGGGAAGCAGAGGGGCCTGCCCCATGCGGAGAAAGACGGGGTCGGAAGGTACGACGGGAGCGGGTATCATAAACAGCATGGCAAAATCGGCACCTTCGACCTGCACGAGGTGATTCCAGATCCCACGAAGGCTGTTCCAGCCTCGATCACATACGCCAGGCGGTCTCTGGCAGGATCTGCGGTATAGGAAGAATGCCGCTCATGCCCGCGGCGCTCTCTTCACATGAGGAGGAATTACTGTAGTTTCGCTGGATACGTTCTAGAGCGCAAAAATCTTGGTTTGCGAGAATGAGGGAGACCCTGGACTCCACCAACGGGGGTTTTGAGAATTGGATAAAAAATCGTGGCTGTGAGCTTTCAGATCACTTGATTGTCACGTGGCCAAACCGTCCTCCGGCACTCAGGCTTCCGAAACTGACACTCGATCAATTGCGCAAAGGCGTCGTATATGAAGGATTCCATGAGGAGATATGCAATGATAGTGAAGAACTACACTCCAGTCCATTCATTCCTCATTCTGCATATTGTGACCGCAGTTACTGGAGTTGGCATGGGATTGATGCTGGTGCACTGGGCATCCGCGAACGAATCACGACGTGGACTCCAACTGGGCCTTATTGAGGGCTTGAAAGAATTGCAGCAGTTGAGAATAATCGGCTCGAGACGATTCATTCATAGTCAACATTTTCTTAGTCAGCAATGGACGCTAAGCACTTGTCCCTTCGGTTCCATACTGAGAATGAACATTAACCGGTGTTCTACCACAATCAGAACTCTTGTCAGGCCGCAGCTTCCCGAAGACCTAAAGATCTTCTGTTCCAAGAACAAGAGTCTGACGGCTTCAGCGAACATTTGTGGCGTACAACAATGGGAGCGTAGGACTTTCAAATCAAAGCTCACGGCTGCCTGAAAGACCGAGAATTGCATCGCCTGAGAAGCCGATGCCGCCCGTAGTGAAATGAGGAGAGCCCTCACCGATATCTCCGACATGCGACGTCGCCTGTCTGAATCTCAAGAGTTTGAACACCGGGCAAAGCTGGGCAGGCCGGTACCGGGGAGGCATTTAACCGGAGTCTGGAGGTCCTTCTGCATGAAAGCCAGCTCAAATTCGTCAAGACTGAGACTGAGACCACAGGGGAAAGAATAGATAATTTCCCTCCCTCAATACGGAGGGGAGCCATAGAATTCCCAAGAACGACTAGGCGAGAAGGGAAATGGAAGAAGCATTGCACAAACAACGTTGTGGACTTAATTCATTGTATATCTATCTGGGAGATTGACTCACGAAGAATGTCACCCATCGAGCTTAAATGAGGGGGGTTGGACTACAGCAGGCCGCTTGTAAAGCCCAGCGACCACCAAGTACTGAATGCGCCTGTTTCGGTCTACATCTACTGACTGAGAGGTCGATTCTGCCGACTGAGCCGCCCGAAATCGCATACGGAACTAGGCGAACTGGTTGACCGATCAGCGAGTGAGATTTAAATCAGGCTCTCTTCTAATCAAGGGGTCAAGGCGGTCGAGCGTGACGAATTTTACTGAGTGTTTGCAACGTGAGTATGGCGAAGACGACAGATAGATAGATAGCTTACCTCTCCTGTACTCTTCCTTTGGCACGCATGGCCTGAAAATGTCCATTACTGAATCATAAATGACTCTTTGCTGCGTAAAAACTGAGAGAAAAGGCCTTGAAAACAAGATTTTGGTCGATCCTCCTGCTTCGTGCAGTCATTCTTTCCGTGCAGGTGCAACAAAGTGGACAGAATACCTTTCTGGGTTGAAATTTCGACCGAGTACATTGAGTTCGTTCCAGTTCAAACGAAATTATTGTCGAACCGCTGGAGAATGGACGGTCAGGCAACTCTGGTGAGTCGGAAACGGAAACAGCGGGCAGCCCCTGACGCGAGTGGATGAGGGTTGCTGGACACAGCCCCTGATGGTCATCGCGGATCAGTAGCTCCTATTTCAATCTCCATTTTCCCTCCTTTTCTAGTGGTCCACATAAGACGAGGTTAAGACGGAAATTATCAATTTTGCGTGAGCAAGCGCCTGCTACGCGTTCAATGCCCCTTCCTAGTCAAAAAGTCTGACCACACTACCCGGCCTTTCATCGTGCTTTCACAGACGTTCCGTCGATGTCCCTAAGCCCGTTCTCTCGCCTCATACACGACTTGCTGATCTCCACAGTCCTCTCATTTCTCTCAGTCATCGGCAGGATTCACATCATCCGTCATATCCTAAACACCTACTTTACGACCACCTTGGCCTCAGGGTCCGGCACCTTGGCCTCAAGTGTGCTACCTCCAGCCGGCGCGTATTTACTGACGCACACTCTCACCTCGTCACAGTATTCGAGATGACCGTGGCATGCACGGTGATCGTCCTTGCCGTGCGTGAGGTCATTCGGTCGGTCGGCTGCTCGTTCGGATGGTGGTCCGAAGCCAACATTGAGCATGACATCAGCGCGCTGCGCTCCCTCGAGGAGGGCTTTGCGTTGCTGTGCGCAGATTTGTGTGCTGACTTGAAAGGCGAGAATGAGATGGAGGAGGAGGGAGGATCCGGCAACCACACGCACTGGGTAGCGGACGAGTCCGTGCCTCGGTGAGTTGATGGGTTATACGGTAATTCAGCGCTCATCAACATCCAGCGAGGTGCTAATGATAAGTACAGTCAATTGTGAAAGGCGACGCATGATCCATATCCGCTTCTGCGCCTAGCGCATAATGGGGCTAGTCATCGCAACCGTACATAACATTTCTCATGTGTTGGAGACTTTATGCGACTTATTCCCGCCCGTCGGACTCCCGCAAATGTAATAACATCCAGCCGGCGATCCAAATACAGCCCGAAGTCCAGAACCGGAGCTGCTGATCATTCCCTATCGCATCGCCCTGATCATCCCTTCAAAGCATGGAATGTATCACCGATATTCTGCGCCACAGTCCCCAATCGTCGTAATCATTCTTCGTCCATGGGACTGTGCGAGAACGACCTCGATCTTGTGATTGTCTTGTTCGGTGAGCTTACATGCCGGTGAGAACACTCGAAGGTTGTCCTCCAGATGGGACGTAATGCCCAGTCGAGCCCCTGCAGCCAAAGAATATGAGACGTGGAATGGATAAATGAAAGCATACGACGCAACGGCACGTACCGACGAGCACGGCGCCGACACCGGGTTGATCGAGAACCCAGCGCGTGGCAATGTTGGCGATGCTGACGTCAAACCCATGCTCGTCCGCGATGTCGCGCAAGCAACGAAGGAGGGTCTGGAAAAGAGCCCAGGATCCCCATGCTTTCAGTATCATGTCCAGATACTGGTGGCAAGAAGTTTCCATCGGTCATTGTGCTCGGGGATTACGTCAAGCAGTATATGCTAACCTTGCGTTGCGACGGAGTTAGGTCCCCGGAGTACAAATCGGGCGCAGGCTGGCCAAGCCATCGGTCAGACAGGAAACCACCGCACTGCACAAGTCATGTGAGCGTCGTCGGGATGCAAACAGCGGTCAAACGACGGCAATGCCTACCAGCGTGCCATATGTGAGCAGTTTAATACCATGGCGTGAACATACATCGGTCATGCCGTGCAGGGGCCGCGTGTCGATTAATGAGAACTGCAGTAGGTGTCTTGCTCAGAAACAGTCCGGTTACACCAGAAACACCGGCCAAACCTGGATCTGATTCGACACAATGACACCCGGCCCGAGGTGCGTGCAGATCTCGTCAGTGCGGATGGCGTCGAAGTTGCAGAGGCCAAGCGCGGTGATGAGGCCGTCAGAGCGAAGCTCGTCCAGGATTTCGAGCGCGGTTAGATACCCTTTGTCCTCGTAATCTTGCCAGTGAAACTAGGGTGCATGCGTCCGAGATGGACATAGATGAGCGCTGACGAGCAGACGCACCTGTAGCAAATCTACTTTCTCACTCTGCATGCGAAGCATCCTCTCGCGCACAGCGGCCTCGACGGTGGTTCGATCGGGGATGATGGTTTTGAAGACACACCACTTGGTTGCGCCAACGACCAGGTCCGGATGAGTGCCGCACGACTTCCGGAACTGGCCCTGTGGGAGCCGCATGCGTGTGAGAATGCGCCAAATGAGGATAATGCGCAACATACGAAAATAATTTCCGCGCTCCCATAATGGTCCGCTGGGAAACACTGTGAACAGAAGCACGCGCGCCAGGCGATGAGGACGCACCCTGGCATAAAAGATCAAGATCGGTGCAGTCCCTCGCGTGCTCGGAAGGTCACACTCACCATATCTGGTGAGAGCGTATTTCACATCAACGATGACGCGCATGAGGGATGGATAAGTGACGCACCGAAGGCCGTGAACCCACGATCAACGGTGTCTCCCATGGACTTCCGGATCTTGGAGACAGGCGCACTACCCCAGGCGTTGCTGGAAAGTTGCCAGAGTCCACACCAGAGGCGCGGTACGCCCAGGAGCGGCCCCAAATCGATCGTTTCGTGGGTCGGCGGGGGCGCAGACATCGTGAGAAGAAGATACTCTCCGGAGAAAGTATGGAGGCCGGGAATTATATGCTGATAAGCGGAGGACATATCACTGATACGCGAAAGTTTGCCGACATGGCATCAATGTCATGATGCGCTCTATGTCATGATGCGCTCTGTCTGGACCCCGAACGCTCGTTAACATGTATGAAAAAGGCCAAGTACATGCACTGTAGAGTAGCGATAGAGCGTAACTACTTACATGAGACTAGACAGTCCAAAAAACTTGCAGTAACCGGAGCATACATGCTGCTCAGGAAACTTCTCGAAGAACCTGCCTGAATTGCCACCACCAAACAGACCACGTTCGAGAGTCCTGATGATCCAGTCAGATATCAAGAGCACGCAGATTGACACAGCAGTGGACTGCGCACGGTGAAGTCATAACCTGCGGATCCGTCAAGAGATTTCCGGAGCCTTGGATAGAGTTAGTATGAAACAGTGAGCCAGATCGAATGAACCGGCCTTGAAGATCAGAAAGAAAGACCAAACGCCCGGTGTGTTCGTATTGGACATGTTGTGTAAAACAGAGGAACGATGCCAACAGCTTGAGATCTTCTGGAAGCGACGGAACGGGCACTGCACTATTGTTATTGATGTACTTCACAAAATTGCCTGAAATTCAGTGAGCAATATACTCGAGTCGTTGCAGAGAACAAATCCGTTCCAATTAATTCTTCAATGAGATATGATCGTCGGAGTGATGTCATCATTTTGCTCGACTTGCCATCTGCCACCGCATTGTGAACCAGAGCAACGCCGGCCTCGACAAAGCGGACTTCAAAGATAGGGAGGTCGCCTGGTGGCGCGACATGCTTTGATATGTAGTTACGCACGAAAGAATAAACGAAACTGAGAAGGGTAGTGCCCCAGAATAGGAGATGTGCCTCCGATACATGGTGCGCATATTCATCGATGGGGTTGAAGTGGATCAAGACGCTATTCTCGTTGTTCTTGAACATGCGTTTCGCGGCAACGGCTTGATTTGGAAGCGCTCCGAGGGGTGTGGTTGGCAAAGTGGACAGCGTCAGAAACGCAGAATGAGCAGATTTGAACGAACCGATCCCCAGAGGCTTCTCCGAAGGCTGGAAGCTTAGTCTTCCGTTGGGTATTCATCCCGTGGCTTCAGGGCGAGCTTGAGCTGTATCGGCATCGCGTGAACAATACCGCAAAGCGCTGTGATCGTAACAAGATCCTTCCTCACAGTGTTCCGACTAGCATGTTTGAGTTCCCAGAGGATTACGCCATCCTCGATTTCAAGGTACGAGTCCGATTTCATCAAGTACAAGCCACTAACTACTAGTCCCTTACAGATCAAGGTCGATCCTATCGGTATTGAAAAAGTCCGACAGATGTACGCACCACCTGATCATGACGTCTTTCTCCTTGTTCCCCCTGACTTCGAGATCGCGATCTTGGATATCTATGCAAAGCTTAATAGCCCTATTGTGGACCGGGACTCATGTTGGGATGTATATCTCCAGCTCCTGAATCGCCTCAAGGAGTTGGATCAGCTCAACAATGTCAGGGGACGCCGCGCTCCTTGGGCACGTGACCATGCACGTGACCCACTGCACCCTCTCTGCCGACCCGTGCCTGCTCACCTGTCGATCACCCAGCCTCCTCCTCCTCCTCCGATCCTCATCTCCATCCATGCCAACATCCGCCCTTTCCCTTCTTCCCCCGGCCATCTCCCTCGAATCCCCGCAAGCGGTCTAGCCAAGCCCGATTCCTTGCACCAGGGAGTGCTACTGCCGTATGCACTCCTCCCCCTTCACTTCGGCCTTCTCCCCGCGGATGTGGTCTACTGCCGTACAGGCTCGTACCAGATGCCCTTGCGCTCATCTGCACCACCCCTCTTCCCAGTTGGGCATTGGTCCTCGCCTCCAATGTCTCCACTGGCCGGCCGGGCACTGGCCTGGCCGCTGGGCTCCTCCAGTGTGGCCTTCCACTGTTGGTGTCTCAGGAGCTGGCCATCACTGGCCCCTCTGAGCCACTCACTATCTTATCTGGGTTTGTCATTATCTACTTGTCATCTGCCATTGTTCCATGGCAGTGATATCCCATCATCATCAGTCACTTGTCACAGCTGACTATATAGTGTGACACCTGGGCACATGGATCCTTGAACCGTTCTCTAAGGATCCCCCTCTGTGCTCAGGTGAGTAGTATACCTCCCTTGTATTTGATAGTCTCTAAGGATCCCCCTCTGTGCTCAGACTCATGTGAGGTTGTTGTGTGCTGTGTGCTCTCTTCCTTCGGGCTGGCAGGAGTTGCCCTTACAAACAATATCGATCAGAGTGCCGATGCAAGGTGGGGGCATGTGCTGACCCAGCCGGTCGATAAAAACATTCCCCTTCTCCCAAACTTGCAGGAACTGCAGGGCGGTGAGGGGGTCGTCGGAGAGGGTGCTTATTATATGGGTGGAGTCAACAATGGGGATGGTCTCGGTATGTTCCATTACTTGGGAACCTTACTGTTCACTGACTCGTCTCCTTTCGGAGGTCCTGAACATCACGCACGTCTGAACGCAATGATCAACGATATCGAGCCCGAAGTGTATCCCATGCCCAACTCCCAGTTACCGGATGACGCTCATGCATTGTACGCATGGTTCTCGGACAAAGAGGACTCTCAGGATTTCAATGATCATTGGTAGTACATACATGCTGACGAGCAGTGATGCGCCCTAGCCCTGAAATCAATCGATCACGTGCACGAAAAGATCTCAATGGATTTGTCAGCGAGCTCATCAAGGTTGTTGCACGTGATCATTCTGATCATCACTGGATGCCTCCGGCGGGGTCCTATTTCGGAGTTCGTCTCCTTGTTGTGCTCACAGGACTCATTCATTTCGGCAAAATTCAGCACTGACTAAAGAAATAAATTAACATAGAGCTCAATGGTCACCATATCAACAGGAGGTTCAAGTTACTTATCTCCTTTGGATTTGATTCACACTTACTGTACCGTGCCAATCAAATCGTCAGTCACGCGTCACAGGCTGCCTGACGAAGTCGAAATTTGTTTTGATGTCACGCATCACATGCTCAGGTGACGAATTCATTTTTCCGTTCGGAAATAAATAAGGCTTGTGGGGTTCAGCTGAAGTGTTAAAAATACTTGTGTACCCTTCCCTGTGTTGTTTTGAGTCTGTCTGGGGCTATCACACAGATAGCTTCAGATCAAGTTGCAAGCAACTCATAGGGAGGTGAATGCATGACCTGACGAAAAAATCAACATGTCACATGTCATGGGGGGACCTGACGAATTGACGAATTGACCTTTTGTGTCACGCATCACACCCCCTGACGATTTGATTGGCACGGTACAGTAGTATAAAAGACCTGTAGTACAGTACAAGAAAAACAAGAAATCTTCTTCACCCACTCTCTAGAGTCTAAAGTGACTTCCCAGTACTTTCTATCTCGCTTTCTCGGCGCCTGCTTCTGCATTATTTTCCCAACATCGCCCCCAAACCCCCATTTCGTGCTACAGACATACATATTGATCTCCCCGTCGTTCTATCGTCCTCTCGTCCTGTCCTCCGTCGTCATTATCGTCCCATCGCCTGTTCTATTGTCCCTTTACTCCCCCTGTTGCTCGCTGCTGCCCCCGCCCATTTCAGTTAAGCCCATTTCCCCGAGCCTGACCTTGTTAGGATCAGAATCCCACAAATATACTGCGCGAGCTCGAGCCGCAGCTCCCTCCCCACGACCTCCGACTAGCCCCCTGTCTCTCCCCGTACAGCTGCGCGCTCATACGCTCCGTAGGCGTGTCAATGCTAGTAATACACTTCAGCGTTCGGGGTCCAGACAGAGCGCATCATGACATAGAGCGCATCATGACATTGATGCCATGTCGGCAAACTTTCGCGTATCAGTGATATGTCCTCCGCTTATCAGCATATAATTCCCGGCCTCCATAAGAAAGGGGACGATATATAAGTATGCGGGAAGCGAGAAGTCCGACCGATGGGGAATGCAAGCGCGCTGAATGCGGCAAGTGTGATGAGGGAAGACGAGAAGCAAGAAGGCTAGGACGCGAGAATGAAGTGCCACGCGTCAAGTATCTCCGCACCGGTGATCACATCATTTGCCGTGTGCGCTAAGCGGGCTCATCAGAAGCAAACCAGGAAAAGGTCAGGGATGCACCCTGACGTTCCGGCTGGAGATATAAGAGCCACGTCGAGCTTAACATCCATCGCAGCCTCGTTAACGTGCCACGCAATCCGCCCCCACTTCCCCCCGATGCCCGCCCCAGAAACTACCTCCAAGATGCCGACATCGCGTCCCGTCCTTGGCCATGTGTGAGCCAGCCACTTGTTCCATCCGCCTTCACCGCAGAGATTAACGCACAGTCACAACCAGAAACTTGATGGCAGACACCCTCATTGCCAATGCCAGCCTCGAAGAGTCAGTCGGTTTCCTCCCGTTCACGTGAACGGCTAAACTGCGCAGATCAATCCGCGGCTCACTCGAACTCCCAGTTTACGTGCGATTGTGCGGAGCATGGTGTCCTCAGGAACACCGGGGGTCGCGGGTGCGCTCGCCACGGCCGCGCGCGCGCGGCTCGTGGAGCAGACGGAGGAGATCAGGGGAACTGAGACGCTGACGTTATTCGTTACCACATCGGCGAAGGAGACAAAGACGATCGACGCACCAGCCCCTGCGCTCTTCGATCTCCTTCGCCGGGCACGGGCATTGTATGGGTGCGGGATGGGATTCGCAAGTCTTGGGTGCGCACAGATTCGTTCCCGAGGTTCCATGTTCGAGGTCGAATTCTATCCGTTAGTGTTCTCGCGACGATTGTCGACGCCTCGTTGGGCGCGCGCTGGTTCAACGACCAGACGGCGGAGTTGCTGGCTGTGGTTGACTCTGATATCGCTCAGGCGATCCAGGTGAGTAGTTCCCACAAGCCTATGTCCAGTATCATCATCTTCATCACCATAGAGCTGCAAGGAGGAGATTGAAGGCGGCCGAGTGGACGACTATACAGCGGCTAGGCAGATTGTCGTGAGACTAAGGGATAGCATTGAGACGAGCGACGCCGAAGTTGCGCGATGGGGTGGCGAGCCGCCGTTCGAGCGTGCCGGGTCAAGTTTGATGTTTTGGAAGGTGTAGTTGTAAGTAATAGGGAGATGGTTACACACAGCGATGACCATGTAGGCGTAGCTACTAAGCATGATACCCGGACAGTGATCCCATGAATCGAGAGAAAACGCACGGCAAACAAGGAGCTCTTATTCAATTCAGCCACGTCATGTGGAGAGCACATGCAGATGTCGTCGATCCAAGTTGCTGCGCAGGGTATGTCAGGGTCCCGTCACTGCCATCATGATGCGATGCGGCTCCGCGGAGTCCGAACTCTGCGCATCCGGCAATACCTGCCCGCCTCTTGTCTTTTGGCGTCGGGGCATGTGTGCGAAATTTGAAACGTCTTCGAAGCGGGATCCGCCTCGCAAAGTAGCTCGGGCTTCTCGGCCATGTGGATTTGTGTGCCACAGCGTTCTTCTCACGCCAATCATGCTCGGTTCGGCCGAACCGCTCGGGAGGCATAGGATGCGGGAGCCGGTTTGTTACACATGGCCTGTGTGGAAACAGCTGGTAGGCTACAATCACGATGCAACGCTACAGTGGCAAAGAGGGCAATATGATATTCACAAATGGGACACAGGGAAAAGTGGAGGATACGGCTTCAGCAGAGAAACATAAAAAAATATCACAACAGCGACAAAGAACGATCATGTTTTGTATGAGGAAATAATAGAGATTCATCTTCACCCCGGTGAGAACAAAGCCCGAAGCTTCAAAGCGGCTCACCGTTGTTTGATCCGCACTTTTCGACGGTTCAAACCTTCCTGAAGTTTGCGCAACTCCAGAATCTGGAAGAACCCTGAGAAACAGACATTCCATCAGCGGGTGGCAATCGCTGTACAACAATATACATCTCTGCATCAAATAATGCAACGCGGCTCGTCCCCACCTCTCACCCCGGATTTTCCGAAGCTGGTCGTCGTCACTCGCGCTATCTTCTACTTGCTCAACGGTGATTTTCAATGGGCGCTGAGACTCGAGAAGGACCTTGTCCCGCTGATATTCGTTCAACTCGCGCGAATACGGCACCGTGATCGCGTCCACTACCACTGAATACGAGTCGAGGAGCACTCCGTTTCGAGAGTGCTTCAAGAGGAGATCAGGGAATAGTAGCAGCAGCTGCATGAGCGCGTTCGTCGCGTGCTTTGATCCTGGGAGGTTTTATGCGCTGGAGTGGCTCAGGGGACGCGGCGCACACTAGCCGAGGAGGGCTCGGTTGGCCGCCCTACAGAAGAGGGAAATCCCTTGACGGTAACCCCATAGTAGGTTATTTTGCCGCGATGACACTCCAAACCAGACCTGAAGGGTGCCAGGACTCAGGAGGGGGAAAGTACAGAGAAGAGGAAGGAGACCTGGGTGGCATCAAGCGAGCACTTTTTGTGCAGGTCACAATGCACTCAAAACGTCTCTTTGCTACGCGTCACCAAAGCGGGAGAGGAAGGGAGTGGTTAAAGCGCTGATGCCCATCATGACAGCAATCCCGACCGTCGTTCGAAGCAAATTGATCACATTGATGCAATGAATGATGTATTCGGTAGATTATGTTTGGCAGCTCTAGCAGCTTCATAACAGTCTAGCTCCACTGGATAGCACCGAAAAAGACACTAGAATCTCCGAGCTCTCTCATGAGTGCGACAATGCTCCAGAAAACCAAGTCAGGCGCAGAGGTTTCTCTAAATCAAGAAGAACGTTTTCGTGCTCTCATTGCGGTTCGCATCAGCTCACTTCCGGTTTTGACTACGTTGGTGGCACTAGAACATCTTTGAACATGTAAATTTTCCTGATTTTCGATCTCAACGTTCCCTGTGTGTTTACGCTCTTTCTGGCCCGCTCAACTCTGGCGCACCATGGCAGCGTATAGCAATGGCGTATGAGACCACTTAAATCCTCATACTGATGGCATTTTTCCGGCACCGTGCTGCCTTGCAGCACATGTAACCTTGAAATCCTACGGGCAGGTTCCATCTTTCCGGCCCTTATTGTGGAAAATTATCAGGCCCCAGCGCTGAGCTGATCTTCCTCCACTAACGAGCAGTCCACTTGTGATGTGATGTATTACACCCATTTGGCTGCTGCACTGTAGGGGATAATCTGGGCTTCTGTGGCACGCTGTTCAGCACGTTCGGATGTACCGGAGCGCCCGGGCCGGAGATCTGGTGACACGGAAATCACCCGGGGATGGTCAATCAAAGATAGTAATTGAATATCAGTAGTGATGAATGGGACTTCGAGTCTCCGAACTAGTCACAGGCTCGGTATCTCGAACTCCGGGCATTTTGTTACTTTGCCGGTGCTGTCTGTTAGGCAGCCTGTAGATTGAAATGACCAATTCCTCCTGTCGATTGCATGCTTGAGATTCAACGAGTCAGGGACTCTAAAAACAGTAAGCTCTTCTCTTTATCATCCCCATGATGCTGAAAGAACCGCGATGACCCGATCGCCGCATGCACCTTGGGCTGCATCGACTGGAGTGAGAACAAGCGGGGAAGCAACTTGGGCTCACATGTCGCTGTCGAAGTCACATGAAGCCCTCCAATCGGAGAGGAGCGGCCGCGGCAGCTCTTCGACCGGTCACACACCAAGCAAATCCGTCGACAATCTAAGTCGAGCGATTCCGAGGTCCCCCCACACGCGCTCTGTGGCAAGAAATCGGCGGCTTCGTCGGACTCTACGTCATTAGTCATATGTTATGTAGTCAAATGCCTACGAACTTGGAATAATGTTTTTGGAAGTTGTCAAGAGTTTTGTGGGGTTTGGATCTGAGCATCTTCGCTCTAAATTCTTCATTCACGGGCTGTGGGAGCCATATTGAAGAAATATTGTCATCTGGAGCGCTCATAGATTGGGACAGGCAAATGCAATGAACGAGCACGGAAATGAACGACTATTCGGCTCAATTATCGTAACTCGCGCTCATGTATTCAAATTTTTTGTAATTCGTGTCTTTCCTTGGCCTGAGAGTGGTACAAAAGTATGGAGGCCGGGAATTATATGCTGATAAGCGGAGGACATATCACTGATACGCGAAAGTTTGCCGACATGGCATCAATGTCATGATGCGCTCTATGTCATGATGCGCTCTGTCTGGACCCCGAACGCTCGTTAACATGTATGAAAAAGGCCAAGTACATGCACTGTAGAGTAGCGATAGAGCGTAACTACTTACATGAGACTAGACAGTCCAAAAAACTTGCAGTAACCGGAGCATACATGCTGCTCAGGAAACTTCTCGAAGAACCTGCCTGAATTGCCACCACCAAACAGACCACGTTCGAGAGTCCTGATGATCCAGTCAGATATCAAGAGCACGCAGATTGACACAGCAGTGGACTGCGCACGGTGAAGTCATAACCTGCGGATCCGTCAAGAGATTTCCGGAGCCTTGGATAGAGTTAGTATGAAACAGTGAGCCAGATCGAATGAACCGGCCTTGAAGATCAGAAAGAAAGACCAAACGCCCGGTGTGTTCGTATTGGACATGTTGTGTAAAACAGAGGAACGATGCCAACAGCTTGAGATCTTCTGGAAGCGACGGAACGGGCACTGCACTATTGTTATTGATGTACTTCACAAAATTGCCTGAAATTCAGTGAGCAATATACTCGAGTCGTTGCAGAGAACAAATCCGTTCCAATTAATTCTTCAATGAGATATGATCGTCGGAGTGATGTCATCATTTTGCTCGACTTGCCATCTGCCACCGCATTGTGAACCAGAGCAACGCCGGCCTCGACAAAGCGGACTTCAAAGATAGGGAGGTCGCCTGGTGGCGCGACATGCTTTGATATGTAGTTACGCACGAAAGAATAAACGAAACTGAGAAGGGTAGTGCCCCAGAATAGGAGATGTGCCTCCGATACATGGTGCGCATATTCATCGATGGGGTTGAAGTGGATCAAGACGCTATTCTCGTTGTTCTTGAACATGCGTTTCGCGGCAACGGCTTGATTTGGAAGCGCTCCGAGGGGTGTGGTTGGCAAAGTGGACAGCGTCAGAAACGCAGAATGAGCAGATTTGAACGAACCGATCCCCAGAGGCTTCTCCGAAGGCTGGAAGCTTAGTCTTCCGTTGGGTATTCATCCCGTGGCTTCAGGGCGAGCTTGAGCTGTATCGGCATCGCGTGAACAATACCGCAAAGCGCTGTGATCGTAACAAGATCCTTCCTCACAGTGTTCCGACTAGCATGTTTGAGTTCCCAGAGGATTACGCCATCCTCGATTTCAAGGTACGAGTCCGATTTCATCAAGTACAAGCCACTAACTACTAGTCCCTTACAGATCAAGGTCGATCCTATCGGTATTGAAAAAGTCCGACAGATGTACGCACCACCTGATCATGACGTCTTTCTCCTTGTTCCCCCTGACTTCGAGATCGCGATCTTGGATATCTATGCAAAGCTTAATAGCCCTATTGTGGACCGGGACTCATGTTGGGATGTATATCTCCAGCTCCTGAATCGCCTCAAGGAGTTGGATCAGCTCAACAATGTCAGGGGACGCCGCGCTCCTTGGGCACGTGACCATGCACGTGACCCACTGCACCCTCTCTGCCGACCCGTGCCTGCTCACCTGTCGATCACCCAGCCTCCTCCTCCTCCTCCGATCCTCATCTCCATCCATGCCAACATCCGCCCTTTCCCTTCTTCCCCCGGCCATCTCCCTCGAATCCCCGCAAGCGGTCTAGCCAAGCCCGATTCCTTGCACCAGGGAGTGCTACTGCCGTATGCACTCCTCCCCCTTCACTTCGGCCTTCTCCCCGCGGATGTGGTCTACTGCCGTACAGGCTCGTACCAGATGCCCTTGCGCTCATCTGCACCACCCCTCTTCCCAGTTGGGCATTGGTCCTCGCCTCCAATGTCTCCACTGGCCGGCCGGGCACTGGCCTGGCCGCTGGGCTCCTCCAGTGTGGCCTTCCACTGTTGGTGTCTCAGGAGCTGGCCATCACTGGCCCCTCTGAGCCACTCACTATCTTATCTGGGTTTGTCATTATCTACTTGTCATCTGCCATTGTTCCATGGCAGTGATATCCCATCATCATCAGTCACTTGTCACAGCTGACTATATAGTGTGACACCTGGGCACATGGATCCTTGAACCGTTCTCTAAGGATCCCCCTCTGTGCTCAGGTGAGTAGTATACCTCCCTTGTATTTGATAGTCTCTAAGGATCCCCCTCTGTGCTCAGACTCATGTGAGGTTGTTGTGTGCTGTGTGCTCTCTTCCTTCGGGCTGGCAGGAGTTGCCCTTACAAACAATATCGATCAGAGTGCCGATGCAAGGTGGGGGCATGTGCTGACCCAGCCGGTCGATAAAAACATTCCCCTTCTCCCAAACTTGCAGGAACTGCAGGGCGGTGAGGGGGTCGTCGGAGAGGGTGCTTATTATATGGGTGGAGTCAACAATGGGGATGGTCTCGGTATGTTCCATTACTTGGGAACCTTACTGTTCACTGACTCGTCTCCTTTCGGAGGTCCTGAACATCACGCACGTCTGAACGCAATGATCAACGATATCGAGCCCGAAGTGTATCCCATGCCCAACTCCCAGTTACCGGATGACGCTCATGCATTGTACGCATGGTTCTCGGACAAAGAGGACTCTCAGGATTTCAATGATCATTGGTAGTACATACATGCTGACGAGCAGTGATGCGCCCTAGCCCTGAAATCAATCGATCACGTGCACGAAAAGATCTCAATGGATTTGTCAGCGAGCTCATCAAGGTTGTTGCACGTGATCATTCTGATCATCACTGGATGCCTCCGGCGGGGTCCTATTTCGGAGTTCGTCTCCTTGTTGTGCTCACAGGACTCATTCATTTCGGCAAAATTCAGCACTGACTAAAGAAATAAATTAACATAGAGCTCAATGGTCACCATATCAACAGGAGGTTCAAGTTACTTATCTCCTTTGGATTTGATTCACACTTACTGTACCGTGCCAATCAAATCGTCAGTCACGCGTCACAGGCTGCCTGACGAAGTCGAAATTTGTTTTGATGTCACGCATCACATGCTCAGGTGACGAATTCATTTTTCCGTTCGGAAATAAATAAGGCTTGTGGGGTTCAGCTGAAGTGTTAAAAATACTTGTGTACCCTTCCCTGTGTTGTTTTGAGTCTGTCTGGGGCTATCACACAGATAGCTTCAGATCAAGTTGCAAGCAACTCATAGGGAGGTGAATGCATGACCTGACGAAAAAATCAACATGTCACATGTCATGGGGGGACCTGACGAATTGACGAATTGACCTTTTGTGTCACGCATCACACCCCCTGACGATTTGATTGGCACGGTACAGTAGTATAAAAGACCTGTAGTACAGTACAAGAAAAACAAGAAATCTTCTTCACCCACTCTCTAGAGTCTAAAGTGACTTCCCAGTACTTTCTATCTCGCTTTCTCGGCGCCTGCTTCTGCATTATTTTCCCAACATCGCCCCCAAACCCC